ACAAGTCTTCGTCGGCGAAGTGGATTGTGTCCTCGGTGGCACAGCATGTGGCACACTCGTGTGGCCGAGGCCTCAAGCCTTCGTCCTTGCTTTCTTGCGCTTCGTGGTCGTTTGGACTCGCTAAAACCGTTGCCAATGCCCTTCGTATCTTCTTTGGCAATTGTAGCGCTTCCTCGATGCTAAAGTGTATTGGCAAACCTTCTTCAGGTGTCGGAGTATTTTCTCCCTCAGCGGCGACAATTTTGCCCTTTGAGGGTTCTTCCATTTTTACTTCGACCACGTGACATGCGGTGATAGTGCAATGTTGGAAAGAGTCATCCGGGAAGTACTCGTGCAATGAGACGGGAATGCGTGGCTTTTGCTCCGCAGGTTCCCCAGCATATATTGGCTTAGCAGCTCTTATGTTTCTCTTAGGCTTCCTATTGCCGCGACGGCAGTGCTTTCTCCCTTGTTCCCCCTTTTGCTTTATAGCTTGCGGTTTTGGTTTCCTCGTCCTCTTATAGGTCACCAATGTCCATCCTTTGTCATCGTCAGTAGGTGCGTCCTGGTTGCTTGCCCCCAGTGACGGTGGTGCAGAATGTGCAGTGTGGTTTGAGTATTGCCGAGCATGGTCAGGCATTTCTTGAAGAAACACGAGATCAAAGGATCCGAACACGACCGTAGTGGTGTGCGTCGCAGCTGTGTCTTCTAGGTCGAGCTCAATCCGTCCTTGTTGTGCCAACTTCATGATGAGTTCTTTTAGGATGAAACACTTGCCCACATGATGACCCACGATACGATGGTACTTGCAGTACTTGGGATCATTGATGCGATTCATTTCTTCAGGGCGTTTGCATTCGGGTAACTCATCACCTTCTTCTCCAGTAGGTCGTCCAGCATTGCGTCCATGTCGGAATCCGGAAAAGGGTATACCTTCTGCTCAAATTCCCTCAAGGTGTTTTTGTACCTATCTTGGGTGTGGGAAGGCTCACCTTTTTTTATCTCCCTTGCTTTATTGAAAGAGATTTTGACGGGCGCGGACGAGGTCTTGATAGGGGTGGTATTGGTGGTAAAAGCTTCCTTGGCGGGCTTTTTCCCATGATTGTCTGCTCTTGAAGTGAACACCTTATCCCTTTTGAAATTGGTGATTGGCTCCTTCTTTCCATGGTGGGCAAGGCTCAACTCCATGTCGTGGGCACGGGTGGCTAATTCTTCAAAAGTTCGTGGTTTGATACCTTGAAGGATGTATTGTAAACCCCATTGCATGCCCTGGATGCACATCTCGATTGAAGAAATCTCGGAGAGTCTGTCCTTACAGTCGAGGCTTAGATTACGCCATCGGTTGATGTAGTCCATGACTGGCTCGTCCTTCCACTGCTTTGTGCTTGTTAGCTCTAGCATGCTCACAGTGCGGCGGGTGCTGTAGAAGCGATTGAGGAATTCCCGCTCCAGTTGCTCCCAACTGTTGATGGACTCAGGCTCCAGATCCGTGTACCACTCAAAGGCGTTTCCTTTCAGCGAGCGCACAAACTGCTTGGCGAGGTAGTCCCCTTCGGTTCCTGCGTTGTTGCAAGTTTCAACGAAGTGGGCGACGTGCTGTTTCGGGTTTCCCTTTCCATCAAATTGCATGAACTTTGGTGGTTGATAACCCCTCGGCATCCTTAAGGCGTCGATCTTCTTTGAATAGGGCTTTGAATACAACCCGGAGGTATATGAGCTCCATTCGTACTGTGCCTTGATGGTGTTGGTGATCATCTCTTGCAGCTGCTGGATAGAAAGGGATCCCATGAGTACCGTTGCTTGGTCTGGTTTCGGCTTCCCATCGATTTTCTTCACCGGGGGTTCTTCGTCTCCGCCAGCTCCTCCCTTTAGCGGATCATCCTCTGGGTCGGGTTTCTCACTGTCCTGCGCCTCCAGTCGGTTGACTAATGCCGCGATTTGCAAGTCTTTTTCTTCCACAGTTCGAGTTAGTCTTGCGATTGCTTCATTCATTTGAGCAAGTTGTTCCTCGACTGAAGTTGCTCCAGCGGTCATGACTTGCATGGCTGAACTGCCGCTTGAATCGTCATCGGAGAGCATGGATTCGGAGTATTCCCTTGGTCTTTCCTCCCTTGGTGCCCTTAGTGAGGCTAAAGTGATCACAGGCTCATGCCTAGGGTACTCTCGTTCCCCTGGCAGAGTTGATGCAGAGGTGAAAGAGGTGGCAGAAGTAGCTTTTGCTTTGCTTCGAGTCGTGACACCCAACGTGACACCACTTACGACGAGGGCGCCTTTGTTCTTTACGCCGGTTATGGGAACAGCTTGAGCCTTTCTTGACGTCATTGATTTTGGAAGTGTGCTTATATTCCTTGAACGGAGGAAGAGATGAGAGGTAGAGATGTCCCACTGGGCGTGCCAATTTGTGAACACGGAAAATTCCTGAAACGAAAGAGACAAGAACAACGTGCACAAACAAAATATTTGTATTTGATGATTTTGGGTTACAATCTCTCTCTATTTTGATCCTCTGATTCGATCTCCGTAAGGTGTGTATTTGTGGATATGTGATTGATCCAAGGGCCGTTGAGGCTTGATCTTGGATGAACTGTTGGAAGTTTCTTCAAGGGGCCGTGGGCTTGATCTTTGAAGGTGGATTTGAGCGGATCTTCAAGGGCTTTTGGGCTTGATCTTGAAGAACAGTGATGAACGGATCTTCAAGGGCTTTTGGGCTTGATCTTGAAGGACGGTTGGATATGTGGATTTGTCGACGTTTGTTGATCCAAAGGGCCGTTGGGGCTTGATCTTGGAAGAACGATGAATGAAGAACGAAGAACGAAGAACACTTTCTTCAAGGGCCGTCGGGGCTTGATCTTGAAGGTGGATGATTGTTGATCCAAAGGGCCGTTGGGGCTTGATCTTGGATGAACGGATGATGAACGATGTTGCTTTCTTCAAGGGCCGTCGGGGCTTGATCTTGGAAGAACGATGAACGAAGAACGAAGAAGGCTTTCTTGATTCTTCGGGAAACTGGATGCTTGAGAGCTTCGGAGTTTCAGAGCTTCAGAGCTTCAAGGTGTCATATGAATTCCCTCCCCAAATGAATGAAATGGGCTTGTATTTATAGAATTTTCCAAGGCCTAATTTTGAATATAATATCCCAGATGAAATAAGTCGTTTCTGCCAGGTGTTGACACGTGTCCTATTTGATGACTTTTCCAACTCATTTCAATTTTCGTTTAGTCACACGCTACGTGTAAAATTTATGTAATACATGAGCGTTGACACTTTGATTTATCGGTCAACATTTATTTACCGAAATTTCGATGTCTACAGAAACTATTCAGATTTGGAATTTTCAAATTTGAATTCGAAAGTTTTATTGTTAGAATCGGAAACACCATTCAACTTGCACTTCTAGCTGGAACGTTTATTTGTCAGTTTAATATAAAGTAAGCAGTAGTTACTTTTCATATTTATGAAAACATGAGAGAACTTTAAAAACAATGTCTAGTTAACTTTAATTTTGGATTGAGGAAACTTTTAAGACTGTTATTAACGCTTTAAAAAATATATTTTGCAGAATATTTAGTCTTCATATTTATGAAAACATGAGAGAAAATATATATGGAGGAGTCTAGACTCTAGAATGACAATTTTAAAGTAACAATGACATCTCCCAATGTAACATCCCACATCGCCCAGGGCAGCGATCCTTAAATGTATATTCTCATCCCTACATAGCACGAGGCCTTTTGGGAGCTCACTGGCTTTGGGTTCCGTAGGAACTCTGAAGTTAAGCGAGAAGGAGGCCAGAGCACTCCCAGGATGGGTGACCCACTGGGAAGTTGCTCGTGAGTTCCCAGAAACAAAACCGTGAAGGAATGGTAAGCCCAAAGCGGACAATATCGTTCTACGGTGGTGGAGCGGGCCCGGGAAGTGATCCACCCTGGGCCGGGATGTGACACCCAAACCTTGATTTTGGAACCTATCAATATTGTTAGTTGTTTGCCTATTATCAATTGATAATTTTTTAGTTTGAGTTCATTCCACTCGGACACATTTATTTTGGCCAATAAATTGCCAAGTAACGTGTATCATTTTTATTCAAATATTTACTAACAACAAATGAATGAAAAAATAAATAAATCCCTTTACGAATTTGTTTATCTCATAATCATTCTCTCATATCCTTATACCAAGCAATTAGGTAAACACAAACTATAAATACTAGCTTTCCACCTAGCTGTAACGGCCACCTCTCTCTCTCTCTCTCTCTCTCTCTCTCTCTCTCTCTCTCTCTCTCTCTCTCTCTCTCTGCGCATTGATCACATTATACTTTTTGAATTACTTTCAAGATAATGCTATGGAGGCTAAAATTTTAAACTAAATTTGCAAACCAAATGATGGGTCACCAATAAAAAACAAGCACGTCAATCCAAAACCATTTGCCTATTTAATTATCAAGATCAAGTTTCATTATTTCTTATATAACAAAGTATTCATTCATTTCTTTGAACCCAATTAGATGTCTTAAATATTTTCAATTTGGCTAATATTTTGCAAAGATGATCTATGATGTACAACTTGAAAAATAGACAGTTCGGATTGTTAAAATTCGATGTGGTGTGGACTCCACAACTAATCCCCATTTTTATAAAAATATAAGGATCCCTTCCCTTAAAGGTTTCCTCTCTCTCTCTCTCTCTCTCTCTCTCTCTCTATATATATATATATATATATATATATATATACATACATACATACATACACACTATTGACAGTTGTAACAAATCCTAACCTTCTAACTGACTATTGACAGTTGTAACAAATATAACAGATTACAATACAAGCTAAGTTTTATCTGTTACATTTTGATCCTTAATAAGAAGCACCGAGAGCTCTAAAATATCTCAATTTCAATCAATTCCATAATTTATTTCTTTTACCACTCAAACCCTCTCTCTCTCTCTCTCTCTCTCTCTCTCTCTCTCTCTCTCTCTCTCTCTCTCTCTCTCTCTAAGTGTGTGTCATATTGGTGATCGATGGCGATGGGTACTGGTAGGATATGTAATGCTCTGCATGGGTTGAAGCCAGTGTTGTTAATGGTGGTGGTTCAGTTTGCATTTGCAGGAGTTAATATTCTCTACAAACTGGCCGCTAACGATGGAATGAACTTAAGGATTCTTGTTGCATATCGCTTCATTTTTGGAACCGCCTTCCTTCTTCCTATTGCTCTTTTCATTGAAAGGTGATCATTTGCAATTTTGCACCTCTCTCCTTTCTTCTTATACATAACATAACTTATTATTTTTTGTTTTTCCATAGAAATATTCAGTGCCATATAATACCTATGTTTTGTTATTTTGTGAATCTTTTTTCTCCTTACAGAAAAAATAAAAATCATATTATTGTCTAGTTATTAGTTCTCTCTCTATTCGTGTTCTCTCTCTCTCTCTCTCTCTCTGTGTGTAAAGTAGCTGCATAATCTTCTGATGTATTTACAGTAATGTTTGAGAACATTCAATAAGTTCATCATATATGCACGTACAAGAAGTTTCATTGACTTTAAACCCTGTGCAAATTCCAAAACAAAAAGGAGAAAAGAGAGATAGCAAGCAAACCCTATCCGCTACTTCTTGAAAACAGTTCATTGGTGTTTATTTTTGCATGCAGGAAGAACAGGCCAAAACTCACATGGATGGTACTCCTGCAAGGATTTTTGTCTGGCTTGTTCGGGTAAGAACCGTATCCATGTGCAATTGTCTTTCTTCCAAATCATGATATTCTCCTACGTTATAATTGGAAATAATATTTGTTTGGGGAGAAAGTAATTGTAATCGTACGTATAAGCTATATTTATATTTATTGGTACGTATATATTGGTTGTGCATGTTGTAGATATTAGTGCTTACAGGGGTGGTCCACTATAAATGGAAGGGGTGTGATATCTACACACCCCATTTTACTTCTCACAAACTCTTCTAATTTTCGATCGTCGGATCGGATGAATTGAAGAAGATCAATAGACAGAAATTAACAAGGGGTGTGTGGATAGCACACCCCTAAATGGAATTGCCAACTGTGTATCTCTGTAAATACGCATGTCCACAAAACTTATCTGGTATGTACATACACTACAGCATTGCCGTTCCATGCTAATAAAATAAAAATATGCGTTAATTGTTTATTTATGTCCTTATTTCAATGAAATGAGATGCCATGCGTGTTCTCCAAATAAATAGAAGAAAAAAAAGGCAAGTAATGTTATTCATACCATATTTTTATATCATATTTCTATACCACCTTACGTGGCATTTGATGTGGACTGCCACATCATTTGAAAATTTTGCAAAACCCAAGGAAAAGAAGGAGAAAGACTCATCGTATACCACAATCATCATTTAATTAACTAGTTTTTCTTAATTATTAGTTTATTAAGTAATGAACTAATTTAAAAAATCTGATTAATTCAAATGATATGGCTGTCCACATCAAATGTCACCTAAGATTGCATGAAAATATGTTACAAAAACATGGTATGATTAGCAAATATGCTAAAATCGTCTTTAATGACTATATATTTTTTCCATGTATTTAAATGACTATTAATTAATTAACATTAATATTGCAGTGGATCGTTATCACAAAATTTGTACATTGAAAGCTTAGCCTTAACATCGGCCACATTTGCTTCTGCCATATCCCAACTCATCCCAGCTATTACCTTCATCTTGGCCATCACCTTCAGGTAAATACATATATATTTTCCAGCTTTATTATTATTTTGAAAAAACATTATAGTATTAGTCTTTGAAGTTAAGTCTAATTGAAGCTTTGGCCTTCAATTTAAAAGTTTGTGGGTATTGTTATTATAATCGTCTGAATGTGGAGGTAACATATTAGGACATTTGTCTCAGTTAACAATTTTTAAAAGATAAATAAGGGATGAAGTTCTGACGAAGTTATCTAAAACAATCACCAAATACATTGACCTAAATGAATCGAGGAGAATGAGTAATGAAACTAAGAAAAGTAATATGAAAAGTCAAAAGTACAATCAAGGAGAATTGAAGGCAAAATTAAGCATGACTAGATGTAGATAATTGATGAAATTTAACATTTTTATTATTAACATTAATCATGATCATTTTTCTTAGGCTGGAGAAATTGAATTTGAGAAGCCTAACAGGGAAGGCGAAGGTGTTGGGAACATTAATGGGAATAGGTGGAGCAATGCTTCTGGCCTTTTATGAGGGTGTGGAAATCAAAATATGGTCCACGCATGTTGACCTTTTACATACAAGTCAGCAACAACACAGCCACTTGGCATCATTACCGCATAGAGATTCTGGTGATCGACTATTGGGTTGTCTACTGGCCTTCGGAAGCTGTATTTGTAACGCTATATGGCTCATTATCCTGGTGATTCTCTTACCAAAGTTTTTTTTTCTTGACGGCATCTTACTAAAGCTTCTAACCCACCATTTAATTTTGGCTATATTTTTAGGTAACCTTTAACTAATGAAGGCTTTTTTTTTTTTCTAAAACTTTTGAATTTTCCCTTTGAAACTAATATTTTATCACCTTTAATTAATCTATCTCACTGCCTAGTGATATTCCTCTTCACTTGTAAGTAAGAGATCTTAGGTTCGATTCCTGCCAAAGGCGAATTTGAACCATATTATTTCTAGTCAATTGTGAGGCTAATCTCACCCCGTCCCCTTAATATAGATAATATCGTTTATTCAAAATACTAATAATAATAATCCGTCTCATTTCTTTTTCTAGAGTTAAACCCAATGACTAGAATACAACTAAGCAAATTTTTATTTATGGCTTAGTGACTGATCATATTCTATAAATTTTTCATCCTAAAATGCCCCTCATTATTTTAAAACAAATTTGGTGGAATATATTGCAAATCTGGTAACGATTTCATAAATGGTGTTTAAATTTTTTTAATTGATTGGTATGTATAATCTCATCCTGTGGGATGATAGGTCCAGTTTTTTCCCTTTTTCTTCTATCAAATTTCAAATTTTATAATTGATTTTTTTTAAGACAATACTCCACGTTGCTGCTCTTTTTAACATGTTCTTGCTCTTTACATATGTTTGTGTTTGAAAATTAATTTACTTGTATTTTCTTACAGCTAGGTAAATTATTGTACAAGCAAATATAGATAATTTAATATACATTTAAAGGTAGGTGATTAGTATAAATATAATCGTAGGTAAATCAATTATATCAAAAGAATGTAGGTAAATTATTGAATTTTTAAAATATAGGTAAATTAATCTATATGTGGATATATTATATAGTATAATATATTAGTAGTTATAGATATTATTTATATTTGTAATACGTGGTTTTAAAACAGGAGCTCATTGCTCATGAGTGCTACTAAACTCACCTCATTGTCTTATTTTCTCACCCACTTTATAATTCTATTCACTATAAGAAGTTTAAAAATTAAAATGTTATTTCTTCACCCATTATTATTCCTAAAATATCCTCTATTTTTTTAACAAATGATATTATCTACACTAAGAGGGATGAGGTGAGCTAAGCCTTACAATGTGCTAGCAATAATGTGGTTCAAATTCGCATTTGACAAGAATCGAACATAGATCTCTCACTTACAAGTGAAGAGGAATACCACTAGACCTAATACTAAGTGGTTCCTCTAATATATATCTTAACTAATTCTATTTTAGTTTTTCAGAATGTCACTACCCTAGCCATACCAATCCCCTCAAACCATCACCCACCACTGTCAGCAACCAAAACCTTTAAGACTTGATTGGCGGCATCTCCTTTGGGAAGAGAGAAAAACGGGAGAGGGAAGTAGAGAGAGAAACATGAGTGGGAGAAGAGAGAGAGGATGAAGCATGGGTGGGGAGCAGTCGGGTGGGGGTTATGGAGTGGTGGTGCGTGATGAGAAGGGAGATTTTATTGCGATGGTGACTGGGAAAAATGAAGGGATCGGTGTCCATTTTGAGCGGAGTTTGTGGCCATGAGGGAATTAGTTAAATTGGTAAGAAGTTGGGATAGCTCTCTTTGTTGGCATTGGTGGCTCAAGTAATTGTCCTATTTCAGGTTTTCCAATTTCTACAGAGAAAGAGATGGAGAGACGATTGGGGGGGAAAGGAACAAGGTGGGTGTAGGGGAAAGGTAGCTGGGTTTTTTCTAGGTTTTTTTATTTGTTTTTTTAGCCATAACAACATGAATTATAATGAAATAAATAAGGGTTTAAAAGTCATTTTCAAAAGGATAAATATGCCATTAATATTTTTATTAAAATGTGGGTGAAAAAATAGGACAATAGGATAAGTTTATCAACACTCTTGCTCATTGATCATAATTAAGGGTGAGTAATAATAATATTTATTAACATATTTAGGGCGTTATGGCATGAGTTGTAAATATTTTATAATAATAGGTCATTTAGGTGATTAAAATAAATATAATCGTAGGTAAATCATTTATATCAAAAGAATGTAGGTAAATTATTGAATTTTTAAAATATAGGTAAATTAGTCTATATGTAGATATATTACATAGTATAATATATTAGTAGTTATAGATATTATTTATATTTGTAATACCTGGTTTTAAAATAGGAGCTCATTGCTCATTTATCATAATTAAGGGTAAGTAATAATAACACTTATTGTTCGACCAAAAAAAAAAACACTTAATGACATATTTAGGGTATTGTGGCATGAGTTGTAAATATTTTATAATAGGGGCTTTTAGATCCAGGTCCAAAAATATAGAGTGTTTTTAGGAGTGACTTCGGTTATTTAATTATATGTTTTTATTTCTTTTATACTCTTTTTATATTTTCTAAAAATATTAAAAATCAATTAAAATCTTTTAATATTATGCATTTTTCAACTCCAAAATATCTAATTAATATCTTATAAACAAAAAAAATTAATATACTAACATAAATCTATCTGCAAAACATTCTACCCTAACTCAAGTAGCAAATATATGAATGTATATTATACCTATAAGTGAGATATGAAACCTAACTAAAAGGTAGAAAAAAATATAATATACCTACAAGTAAGACACATTAATATGTGACATGTTAACTATGAAAAAGAATCTGTCATATAGGTAGATAAATACAATTAACCTATGATATAGGTTGATTATAAAAATTAAAAAAAATCTATAAATGGGTTAAAGCAGGAGGAAGAACAAGAAATAACAAAAAAATAAATAAAAAAAAAGAGATAATTAGGAAGAAATTTGATTTTTACAATAAGTTTTTCTTTTAAGAGATAATTATTGATAATTAAATAATTAAATTTAAAGAATTGGATTTATTTTAATAAATTGGACTATTCCTACTATTGGCTCAAAAAATTGGAGTTATATCAAGTTTCCCCTTTATAATAATATGTCATTTATTTGCCTACATAGCCACATAGTAGACTATTTGAATTTTGAATTTTATTTGGATGTTTAACTCTAGGTGGATTTTTATCTACAAAAAAAAAAGAGTTACAAGGGTCTATCTTTTTGCCAATGAGAGTTGACTCAGTTGGTAAGGTGCTTACCTTGTGTGTCACCACACCAAGGTTCAAGTCTCACTGCTAGCAGTCCTTATTGGTGCATGATCTGTAAATTCCTATGTAAATTTATACTAGTGGCAATTACAGTTAGGTGTCACGCGTAAGTCCTTTCGGCTCGAGGTTGTGAGTATGTCTTGGCACTGGTGAACACAATATTATTAGGAGTCTGTTTGATATGCATGCGACGCACGCCAATCACGTTATTATACAAAGTTCCTAGATATTCAAGATACATTACTAATTGGGATTCAATTATATTTTCATTTTTTTCAAGAACAAGTTTGTTTGTCTCGATGAGATGGATCTCGCCTTCCAGTTTGGGAGAAATTTTTAGTTGTGACGAGAACACGGATGGTACACCACTTGTTTTTGTGTAAGTGGTGGAAAATTTTATTTTTTAAGTTACTAACTTTTTAACACACATATCACATCATTTATATAACGACACGTGGTGTATCACCATGTGTGACGATCACACTGAAAAATCTCTCCCAATTCAGAGATATCAGTCACTTGTTTTGATTCCATGGTTTGAGGGGTCCAATCTAAGGAGCCTGATCTGCTCTAAGCCACACACTCCAAGCTTGTTGGCCATTTCGGCCACTCTGAGCACCATGTGGAGTCCCAAAAATCCTTGTCCCACAATGTTAGTCTCGTATGTACTAAAAATCATTATTAAATCTGTCAGTTCAATGAAAAGGAGAATTTATAAAGTCAAAGCTAATGTCTATGCAAGAGATTTGCAATTCAAGTAATTAAGAGCACTCATCATTGTATCTTTTCTTCCATCGAATTTCTACTCCTTCAACATCTCTTGTGAAAAAGAAAATAAAAACAAAACTCGTCTTCCTATAAATAAATTAATTAAGTAGAAGCTTTTCATTTATAAATACATTAGCATTTGTCTTCCTATTAATTTCCGTTTCATCTTTCCACAAGATGATAGTATTTACATTTTGGATTTATTTAGCTAATTATTTGTTTCGTGCAATTCATAGACTAAAATGAGTGTGACATACCCTTGCTATTATTCAAGCACTGCTTTAATGTCAGCAATGGGGTCAATCCAGGCCGTTGGTTTTGCCCTCTGCATGGAGAGGGGGTGGAGCCAATGGATGCTAGGGTGGAACATTAGGCTTCTAACAGCGGCATACTCGGTACGTCACACCCTTCTTTTACTAGCTATTTATTGTTTTAACATTTTCTTCATCTTTATCTAGAGTACTTGAATTTTTAGTCAATTATTAATTAATTGAATCTATCTATATCTATCTATTAATAATTGGATCTATCTATATATGTTGGTGACTTTATGCTGTAGGGAATTATGGTCACTGGGCTATGTGCTACATTTATTTCTTTGTGCATAAGCATGAGGGGCCCTTTGTTTGTATCTGTTTTCAACCCTCTTATGTTGGTGCTCATTGCCATCGTTGGGTCTTTGGTATTAGATGAGAAGTTGCATCTTGGAAGGTATGTATGTACTCTTGACTGAAAAACTTGATTTTCGCATTCTAACATGGTCATCTTGCATTTTCTCGAATAATAACAGTTTTGTTAATTGATATAGCTCTAATTTATCATTGATTATTCTCTAAAATGTATATTGTTGAGAATGAATTATACATTAATGGGAAGAGGGACCTTGCATGATTTGGTCCCTCACCATTAATGTGGAACTTTGTCGTCGCATTCTCACTTATATTCTTAAATATACACGTCCTTGCTTGTCTTTGATTTTAATTATTTACGTGATGTTTGTTTAACTGGAAAATTAACAGCGTTTTGGGAGCAGTGTTGATAGTGTGTGGCTTATATGCGGTGCTGTGGGGTAAGGGCAAAGAAATAGAGAAGATGAGTCATTTAGTACCGTCAACAAGCTTTCATCATCAGGATTCTGGCTCAATTGATATTGTGATAATGCCTCCAGATAACAATAAGGTCAACAGCAACAACATCGAGAGCCCTACAAATAACAATGCTTCAAAGGCTACTAGTTCTGCGGTCAGCATGATTCATTGATTCAAGGAGAGGGGAAGAATAAAAGAGACATTTAAAAATCGAACTAGCAAAAACAAGTGATAAAGGCATTTATAATTTAGATTATCTTTGGACGACATTGTATATAAATATTCATATACATGTATGCAGTCCAACATTCTAGCGGATAGGATGTTGAGTTTCTACTCAAGCGTCCCGTGTTTGAAACTCTCCCATTCCTTAAATTAATGTAATAATTTCATATTCTCCCCACTCTCCATTAAGTATCTTCAAATTAAAAGGCATAATTTGTATATTTTTTATTTATAGAAAACTTCATTTTAGTACTTAGAAAAGATCATGTTTTCAATAATACTGTATATAAGATGAAAAACTAAAAATAGTCTTTTGACTCGTGTCCACGTCACCTTATATATTACCTTTTTTTTTGTATGAATTTATTGTATTTTTAGTTTGTCTATATTTATTACCCTTAGGTAGAATTGAATTAGGGAATCAAACATAAAAAAAAATTGAAAAGCATTAGCTTTGCAAATCATAACTAACGTATGAGGCGAGGCTTAATGAGTAATAATGCAAAAAGTATCGGACCTAATAAACTAAAATATAAAAATACAAACCGTACAAATTGACCCTACCTAATGAACTTAAACATTAAACATACAAACCGTACCGATCAATGTACCTAATTAATGAACTAAAACATAAAAATACAAACTATACCAAATTGATCATATTAAATCTATTGGACCTAATGACCTAAACGTTAGAAAATACAAACCGTATCGATTTGAGTAAACACATTTGAGAAAACTAAAACCATCTCGACATGGTACAAAGAAATTTCTTAGCCATGTAAAACTATAGGGTTATAATTGGATGATTTATAGGGTACAAAGAAGATTCCTTAGCCTATAATAAGAAAGCGAAGTAATTAATTAGGGGATGTGCTATCCACACACCACTTTTTACTTCTCACATACCCTTTGTTAATTTCTGTCCATTAATCTTCTTCAATTCATCTGATCCGACGGCCGAAAATTAAAGGTGTGTGAAAAGTAAAAAATGGTGTGTGGATATCACACTCCTTAATTAGTTGATGGTGAGCCTTGGAACAACAGAAAGGTTGCTCCATTGTGACTGAAAGGTCACGAGTTCAAGTTGTGAAAATGGTCTCCTTGCAAAGAAAGGGTAAAGTGTGTACGATAAACGTTCTCCCCCTTCCCCCACCCCTTTTCAAAGTGGAAAGCCTTGTTGGCTTGCAATGCCTATCTTGATTATATCTCTCTTGTCCTATCCATCCTTATTAGTAGGCAAAATTCGGTGGCTTTATACATGCCACCTCTTTTTTTGGTTCTTATGAAAAAGGTTTTTGTTAAGGGCGGGGTTGTTTCTGTGTCCATATTTTATGCCAAATAATTTGACAAAATAAGATACTTATATTAATTAACTTCCAATATCCACAAGCTATGAATCAATTTTATCGTTGGTCCATGGTAATATAGAATCTTTACGTCGCCAACTAACTACAACATTGACTTCACTTACATGTATAATTATATTTTCTAGAATTGTGATTTGCATGTATTTTATGGTTCTCTTATTAATTATATTTCATGGGTAACATAATATGTTCTGACTTTTTAGTGACTAATGGAATATTATTGCTGGTGTAAAACATTGGTCTACACTAAACAGTTTGATTCAAATCTGTTTTGGGAATTTTCTTATTTAAACTTTCAAGGGGACAAGGTGCAAGAGTCGCCTAGCTATCAAAACTTTTTCCCTCAAAGTTGTATTGTATTAGCAAGAACTAGGATCTTGATTTGTAGTAGCTTTTGTTGGAGCAATATTAGAAAATATGAAAAATAACACAAGAACTTCAATGATAATAATCATAAAGAAATTTCACAACATCAATTATATATGAGATTAATATAAACAACTAGAGATAAAGTTAGAAAAACTGACAAACTTGAAGATTGAGGCTTGCATAAATGCAATGTCCTAAAGATAGAATTTCGTCATTTCAATAACCTTATTCTAGTCATCACGTTCCTCATAGCATTATGTTTTAGGTACGTACTTGTACAGAAGTAATTACTTAATTAATTAAACATACTTGTACATAAGTAATTACTTAATTAATTAAACAGCGGTTTCAGATTTGAATATGTAGATTTAGACTAATATGAAAATTCGGGTTAAAATTATTTCTCAGAATGAAGTTAGCCATTGGGACACGCACGGGAAGGGCAAAAGTTGTGGGTACATTAGTTTGTGTAGGAGGCACAATGATCTTCACTTTCTACAAAGGCCACGAGATTGTCATTTGGTTGACGGACGTAAACCTTTTACGTAAATATTCCCACCAAAACAGCCACGTCTTGCACAGAAACACTCGCACTCAGTTGCTGGGCTCCGTCTTAGCACTCTGCAGTAGCATCTCTTTTGCAATGTGGCTGATATTTCAGGTTATTAGTATATTAATATATATAATAGTAACCAGCCATGCATTCATAAATTAATCCGTATGATTTGTTTAATATTGTGTTGTAATATTAACTTGGTGTATATACAATACAGAAGAAAATGACTAGGGATTACCCTTGCCAGTACTCAAGTACGGCCCTGATGTCTATCATGGCATCAATCCAGTCCACTGCTTTTGGCCTCTGCAAGGAGAGGGACTGGAGTGAGTGGAAGTTGGGCCGGGACATCAAACTTTTCACGGCAGTGTATTCGGTAATATGACTGACTAAGCTCTTTGCACCATCTGTATTTAGCTTAGCATGCCCTGCCTTATCTGTATTTAGCCACAAGCAATTTTCTGCTGCGAATCCTTGTGAGCTACAGTTTCTCCATATCCTGCCTTATCTCTGTATTTAGCTTAGCATCCTCAGTTTGTCAAGACTATAGGTTGAGCTGTTCCACACCTGTGTTTTATATGATGTAGGGAGTCATTACTTCGGGATTGGTCCTTACTCTGACCGCATGGTGTGTGCGCATGCGAGGGCCTTTGTTTGTGGCTATTTTCAACCCTCTTGGCCTTCTGCTGGTGGGCTTAGCTGCGACGTTGTTGTTAGATGAGAAGTTACACTTAGGAAAGTAATTTACTTTGTTCTTTTTTCTGGTTAAATTGTAAGGGAGAAAAAAAAAACAGAAAACTGCATGAGAAATATTTCTAATATCTCTATATTTTGTTATGCCCTGCAGCATATTAGGAGAGTTTTTAATCATCTGTGGGTTATATATGGTTTTGTGGAGTAAAAGAGAGGAACTGAAGACGATGACAGAACAGCCACCATCACTACTTGAAGAGTCCCATTCAGAGAGGTTCTGTTAAGAGAGGTTATGTTAGTTTTCTGTTAAGAGAGATTCTGTGGCAACTCTTGGACAAAAGTTTGTAATGCTCATTCAGTTGAGCTTAACGCGGATGATAAACAACTCTTTCTCCTCTACAATCCTTCATTTCTTTTCTTCTGTTGTTCATCTGCTTTTCTAAAGCTTCCACCTCTACTCCTCCTATTCAATTCAAGACACGTGTTCTCTAAAGCTTCCACCTCTAGTCCTCCTAAACCCTTGGTGGCCGAACCGAAAAGTATAAAACGAATACCGAACAGATTCCTTTTCGGGACTGCATTTCTAAAACCAAACTGAATTAAAATTTGGTATTCCCGATTCCAGTATTCTCGAATTTGTTTTGAATTTTTCAGTACGATTTTGTAAACTGCGGTGGTAGCGATGGCTGATTCATCGGTGGCTAATTCGTCGCGGTGGTGATGATGGCGGAAAGGAGGGTCGAGAGGGAGGTGAGTTAAAGGAGAGGAGATAAAAGGGTAAGTCGAGCCGGTGGCGGTGAAATGGTATAAGGTTGGCGGCTTGGGTTTAATAGTTCTTAATTACGACAAATAAGGATGTTGCATTATAGTATCTCATTGGTTGAGACCATTGATTTCTTGGAATGAGATTTGGGGTTCGAGTCTCTCCAGCCTAATTTTTTAGGTAAGTTATGTTGCATTATATTTAATATAATAAATTTATCGGTTTGGTTCGATTAAATCTTTTTTTTTAACAAACAAATAAATTTATCGATTTGGTTCGTATTAAATTTTTTTTTTGAACAAACAATATTATTATATTAAGTAGAGTGTAGCCTTAGACTCATACTGAGTTAGCAATAATGTAATTCAAATTCGTCTTTGACGAGAATCGAACTAAGACTTCTCACTTACAAATGACGAGAATCGTATTAAATCTTAAACTCACAAATTCTTTACCGAATTCGAAATCGAACTGGTCGGTTCAGGATTTTCGGAACTTTTTTTCTAGCCCCTAGTCCTTTGACATCGATATGGGTTTATTAATTGTTCAATAAGATTTTCTAGTATGGTTGAAGCAAATTTTGTAAACTTCATCAGTTTCATGTTAATCAAAAGACAACTTTATTTACTTGGAGAAGTCAACATGATGAATTGTTGGATGAACAAGCTCCAATGACTCAGTCTTCCTATAAATGAGTTTATACTCCCTGATCCGTTATAAATATCTCATTACTCTTTTTCATGCTAACCTATGTGCAAATCTATATAGGGTTGGATTGGAATCTTCTTAGTAAACTGCAACAGAATGAAATGTTTGATCTTGTACAAGTTTGTGCATTAATGAAATGGTAATGCACAAGGCTTGTCTTGCATCTCATTATTTCTATGCCAATTTGAGGTCATTGCTTCTTGCTTAACTTTTCTTCTTTTTCTCTTTTTTTTTCCTTTCCTTTTTTTTTTTTGTCAAAGTTTTTTTCCTTTCCTTTTAATTTATTATTATTTATGGGAGGAGGAGAATTCAAAACTATTATAATAATTTAGAGGAGCGGGGAGTTTCGAACCCGAGACGTATGGGTGGAAACTCAACACTATATCCACTAGGATATTCAACCACATGCAAACAAATTTATTATTGCTAAAGGAAGGGAGAAAGTTCGAAACTATTACAATAATTTAAAGAGGAGGGTTTCGAACCAGAAATACATAGGTGAAAATCCAACACTTTATTTACTACGATATTGGGTCACATACAAAAAAATTGGTAATTCTTTTTCTCTTTATTTTCTTTCTAACTAGCCATGAATGACACGCCCAATGCCGCGGGATCAAAAACCGTACTTGATGTGTATTACATACAAAAGGTAATACT